TGGAAACCCCACTTAGTGAAGTGGGCTTTACCTCAAACCCACCTGTAGCCATTGGACTTAAGGCTGAAACTCCCTAGTGTGAGAAAAAGTAGATGAAGGTGCCCAATTAATGGTGGCCTGGAACCACCATATGCTTACTATTTTAATGCCCTCCTGGTTTCATGAGGACATGTATTAATCTGGTAGGCGTGGCTCTGCTGTTGTGAATGAATATTATTGGAAGATTTGCCCTATCACCAACCCCATTGTTTGTGTAAACAGTGTCTAGTCACTTGTATTAGGGTGAATATAGCTGCCCTATATTCATGGCATTTTCTTTTCTCAACGGGGTTTTAAATTCTATACCCCTGGCTAAACTAATGACACTAGCAATGGATAGTGGTTATCCATTGGGCTGCTAACTTCAAGGTCAGCAGTTCAAAACCACCAGCCAGTTCTGCAGGAGAAGGATGAGATTTTCTAACTCCTGTGAAGATTTACAGGCTCATAGACTCACAGGGGCACTCTTACCCTGCCCTGTAGGGTCACTGTGAATCAGCATTGACTTGATAGCAGTGGAAGTGATGCCCCAGGGGGACGAGTGACAGTGTTCTCTACCATAAAATGACAATGACACCTCTAAGGTGAACCAGAGACACATATAGATGCATGAATGGATTTTGGGCTTCCACTTCATTCTAATCCCAATCAGAGAACAATTCATTTTTACGATATGGCCCTGCCAGATACAGGTGCTAGATGCAAAATGTGGTGAAGAAATTAGATGGTGCCCAGCTATCAGAAAGAATAGTGTGGTGGGGTCTTAGAGGTTTGTTTTCAAACAAGCAACCATCTAAGTGAGGCATCAAGTCCACATGGAAGAAGCACACCAGCCTGTGTGATCCAAGGACTGTAAATAACATAATCCAGATTTAAAGGAGGGAACGGTATCAGAGCTTAAATTGTGAACACCTGGTCTGCAGAAGGCTATGGATGACAGTGTAAGCCCAAAATCCATTTGCAAAGTCTACATATGAATTAAGCCTCTGGTGAATCCCCTCTGATCATAGTTGAGAGATGTGAATAGCCCTGTTCTCAGACAGAGAGCCTTACAAATTTGATTATGGCAGATGTAGTTAGGTCCAAATGCAGTATCTTATCATTGATCTGCCTTTAGATAAATTTTTAAACTGCTTCAGTTTTTTAAAAAAATGAAGGGGAAATATGTGTGGATTAAACCTCAGGTGATTCCCCTCTGACCACACACCAGCGATGTGAATAGCCTTGCTATCAGGCAGAATGCTTTGGGAAATGCATTGTTGCAGATGCGGTTAGGGTAGAATTTAGCACCTTATTCCCTGATCTCCATTATGATCCATTTAAATTTGTTCTAGTTTTTATTTTTTTCTGCTTTCTTTTAAATTCAGGTTTTTATGTTGTTCTTGCTAGTTTTTTTTAAAAACGTGTTATGAAATCAAGAATAGGTAAATCTATATAGGTAAGTCTATAGAGATAGAAACTGGATTGATGATTCCTTGGGCTTGGCAGGGGAAGTTGGAGGGAAATGGGGAGCCAATAATGATGAGTACAAGAATGAAAAAAAAGTTCTAAAACTGATTATGATAATAATTGTACACCTCTTCTTGATGTGATTAAACCATTGACTTATATGCTATATGAATCCATATGCTGATAAAAATGTTTGAAACAAAGATTTATTGTAGGATCTTGATCAAAAGGGAGAGAATACACAACAGATTTTTAATTCTCCTGATATCTATGCTTTCTGAATCTAGATGAACACCCCAAAACTATTGACCTGGGAGAAGGGTTAAAGTCTGAATTGAAAGCATTCTCGAAAGTTGTCTGACACCAAACAGTAGTTCAGCTTGACTAGTGAGGGATATTCGTATTGGCTGTTGTGATTTTTAAAGAATTTTCTCTTTGGGGATCAAACTGATAACAGAAAATTGAAAGATTAGAGGTCGGTGGTTCAAATCCCTCGGTGGCTCTCTGGAAGAAAGGGCCTAACCGTCTGCTCCTGTCAAGATTTTACCCTGATGGGGAAGTTCTCTGCCCTCCAGCATCACTAGGAACTGGCATTGACTGGTCAGCACACAGCAATGACCACAACAGGCAACAAGCAGGAGGGAGGCATCGTGTGTCTCTATCGACGTGCTAGCCCAGTGGCTCTCAACCTTCCTCATGCCGTGACCTTTCATACAGTTCCTCATGTGGTGGGGACCCCCCCAACCATAAAACTATTTTTGTTGCTACTTCATAACTGTCATTTTGCTACTGTTATGAATCGGGAGACCCCTGTGAAAGAGTTGCTCAACCCCCAAAGGGGTCGCGACCCACAGGTTGAGAACTGCTGTGCTAGATGATCCACGGTAGCATCATGCCCCTTTACAGATGAGAACATGCAGGCCCGGGCCGCCCCACTAGCGAGATGGAGCCAGAGCAGGTCAGTCAGTATCTGCTGACAATGGAGAATGTTTTATGCCCATATCGGGAAACTGGACTTTCTCATGAAACATCTATGTGGTATCTGGGTACATGAAACTGCCTGGCAGATGCTGAAATTCCAGAACATGTGGCTTTGTGAGGCACAGATATCTGACACCAGGACTGTTGGGGAGCATGCTGGGCTGGACAGGATTTAGGGCCCTGCCTCTCCCTGACGGCCCAGAGCGCTGAGGAGAAGGCCCGAGAGGACGCCCTGCAGATCACTGGCTTGAGCTGTCAGCCTGGCTCTGACAGGAAAGGACCCAGCAGCAGCCTGGGATGAAACCGGAGGCACATCCCATTTGAAATGTGCGCATCTGCTCGGCAAGGTCTGCCCCACATACAAAGGCACAGTGACCTCCTCTTGGGGGCTGCATGCTGGGCCCTCAGGGCAAGAGGGCAGAGCTGGCAGCTCCTGATGGGGTTAGAGATTGGCTTAGCTCAGGGGGACCCCAAGGCCAGTAAGTGGAGGGGGGGAAAATCCACCACCTGCAGAGAGCCGGGATGCACTGTGCAATGCTGACTGCAATCCTAGGCCAGGTAGACAATGAGCTTGGCGCTCGATGGAGTCACCAGGAAAGCAGGGAAAGCAGGTTGGAAAGGCAACCTCTTTGTCTGGCTCTGACCAACACGGTAGCCACCAGGCACAGGTGACTACTTCAATGGAAGGTAATGACATTTAAATAAGGAACAAACCCAAGTGCTCATTTGCATTAGCTGGTGTTTGGTCAGTACAAGGTCAGTGAACACGAGAAAGCCTGTAAATGAGATGGATTGACACAGTGGCTGCAACACTGGCCTCCCACACAGCAGAGGACGGAGCCAGAGCAGGCAGGGCTTCACTCGGTTGGGCAGGGTCACCGTGAGTCCAAGCCAACTCATCTAAGGACATTCCAAATGCTCAAAGCCACAAGTGGCTAGTGGCTTCCAGACAGGACGATGAAGAGAGAGGACATTTGAAAGACTGCAGGAATTTCCATTTGAATGCAACCCATTGTTGTGGAATTCCCAAGGGTTTCAGAGTAGACCTGTACCCCAGAGGGTTTTTAGACTTATGGAGGAGACGCCCCAGTGGCGCAGCAGTTAAGCACTTGGCTGCTAAGCAAAAACTCCATGGTTCAAACCCACTTTCTGTTCCAGGAGAAAGATGGAGGGTTTGGCTCCCCTAAAGATTACAGCCTTTGGAAGAAGCACACCAGCCCACTGCGCTCCAAGGATTGTAAACAATGAAATCCAAATCCAAGAAGGGAAAGGCATCAGAGCTTAAGTTACGAGCACTCACTTTGCAGAAGACTATGGATGACAGTGGAAGCCCAAATCCCATTTGCAGGGTCCCTACATGGGTGAAGCCTCCGATGAATCTCCTCTCACTACAGTCCAGGGTTAGCAATAGCTATGTTATCAGACAGACAGCATTGTAAGTGGATTGTGGCAGGTGCAGTTAGGTTAAAATGTAATAACTCATCGTTTGAGCTGTTGTCTTAGCTTTTATCTCCGCTTACTTTTCAATTGAGGTTTTTCTCTGTTTTGTCATTGTAGTTGGGTTTGGTTTTGTTTGCTTCTTGTTTGTGTTTTGTATACTTTTCTGTATATAAAATCCCGAATAGGTAAACCTACAGAGACTGTGACTGGGCTAGTGGTTTGTTAATAGTACGATTGAAGCTCGGCCCTCCAGAGTAGCCTGAGTTGGAATAGAGGCAATGGGTTAATCGTCCAGCAAAAGACCACCGGACCTTGTGTCCTTAGCACTGACGGGCAGATTCAAACTGCTGATCTGTCAGCTAGAAGTCAGGGGAACCACAATTGTCTCAGTAATGTGCTCATTATTTTGATTACATATCAAAACGATAACATCTTAGGTAGAGTCGTTGAATAAAGTATCCGATTAAAATTAATTTCACCTGTTAATTTTACTTTTTTAAACTGTGGGTAATGGAAACTTGGGGATTCTCTCTGCGGCTCATAGAACAGTTCCATCAGATAACAGTGTTACAGGTGGATATGCCCCCTGGTCAATATTTCCACCCTTTTTAATCTCTCATCAGTTTTGCAGGATTGCATTTGTAATAGTTCACACAGGCAACTCAGGGGATAGGGACCAGGGTGAGTTTGGAAGATGGTAACTGCCGGGTTCAAATGGCAGCTCCCTCGCCCATTTTGGCCCTGGGATCTGAGGTTTGCTACTTAACTTCTTGGACTCTCAGGTTTCTCAGTGGACAAACACAGTCAGTCCGTGAAAGTCCCACGGCACATGTGGTTTGTGAACGTTCCAGGAGGGGGAGCCAGGGCAGGAGCTCGTGTGGACCTGGCCATGGCGCCGATAAGCCTCTGGACAGGGCAGCCACTCTGGCTGTTACTGTCCCAATGGCCATTCAGTCATACGTTCAGCAGGAGAATGTGGTGGGCTCCCCACTCCCCTACCCCAGCCCTCAGCCTCCCTGATAAGGACCAGCAGGCAGCCTTCAGCATCCCCTGCCGACCCTCTGCAAAGGCGCCATGGCCCAGGCACTCACCTGCTGGCAGCTGCTGGCCCAAGTGGCCTTGAGGGGGCCCCAGCCTCCCGAAGCCTTGGCTTTGCTTCCCAGGAGCTCCCGCAGTTGCGTTTCCAGATCCCGATTGACCCGCTCCAGGGTGTGCACCTTGGCTATGTATTCCACCAGGCAGGCGCCCAGGTCCTTGGCAGCACCGTGGGACCCCTCCAGGTCTGGGACAGGTGCAGTGGCCCAGCCTGAGCTCCGCAGGCCCTGCAGGAAGATACTGCTGATGCCCAGGGCCCGGCAGGTCACTCGGGCACCCTGGCTGCCTGTGAGCCCAATAGGCATTGTCCCTACATAGGCCACGGGTGACCGGGCCAGTCTGCCCCAGGGATTGGCCCTGGAGCCTGGAGAGCTCTCCCAGGGAGACGAAGGTTGAGTCCCCCTGAAGGCCATCCGGCACCTCTGGAGGGACATGCTGGAGCTGGCACTGGGGGGTGCGTCCACCACCACTTGCCTCTCGCTCTTCACCCCTTCTGCCTCTGCCATGCCTGGAGGGTTTACAGAGGCCAATAGATTTGGGGTTCCAGCCCCAGTGTCCTGTGGCTTGGTCACAAGCCTCTCTGGAAGCTTCCCTATCCTCAGGCTGCTTTGTTTGCTGCTTCCACGAGTTTCCCTCATTCACTGGGCTGAAAGAGAAACAAGCCCGGCCAGGCTGTGCACAGACAGGCCCTCATGCATTCTCTGCAGGGTCACGGGTTGGCCTCTCAGATTATTCAGCTGGTGTGGGTGGGAACGCTGCCACCTCGGCTTCATCTGGGCTTATGAAGCTGGGTCAGGTGTGTTCATAGGCTCTGTTTCCCTAAAAGAGAGAAAGCCAGGTCTCAGGCAGCCCCCTTGTACAGATGAGTAAACTGAGGTGCAGGGGCCTCAGCTCATAAGGAGAGTAACCGAGCCTGAACTCCATCCAGGTATCCAGGCTTCGTCACCATGCCTGCTTGTGTGGGTGGTCTTGTGTGCCTGCACAGCAGCACAGGGAATGGAGGGTGGAAATGGATGTGGACCAGTGAGGGGCGGCAGCTCCAAACTCCAGGGGGGACAAACCCAGCCTGCTGCCTCTTTCACCCGCTGGACTCCTGGCAGCAGCAGCAGGCCCCTGCCTGGCTTCTTTCTTCTCGTCTCGTGGTCTTACTTCTGTGCTCTAAGCCCGCTTCCTGGGGGAGGGTGGGCAGGCTGGTCTTGGAGTGCATCTTTCAGAGATGTGAGGTATGCTCAGAGAGGGCCTGCTGTGGTAGAGGGTCCATTCCAGCTGGATGGGATCCAGGTCTGCTGGGCATTAGCTGCTTGGTCTTTGCCAAGCTGCTGCAGCCCTGGCCCTGAGTGTCCATACTGCGCTGGGCTGGTTCTAAGGTGCTACCTAAGGGGCCTCGAGCGAATTCTGGTCCTACACATGTTGGGTCCTGGGTGCGCTAGACACCTTCCACAGGCCTGCCCCTCATCTTCTGGAAAACAGCAGGTGTGAGGCTCCCCAGGCAGCTCTCTAAGAGCCTTCCCAGTTCGGAGGCAGTAGGCCCCACAGGGCATGCATCCATTCCTTCTCCTGGCCCTCCCACTGCCACCCTCACCAAGGACACCTAACCCACTGATTCAAGTCTCACGCTGGAGGGACCAGGTGACACCGAGCAGAGCGCTTGTGGCAGCTCTAGCCGTGGGGGAACAGATTTTAAGTCAGAGGGAAAGGCAGCCAACTTCCAGCCAATACTGAGCACCCCCCAGTGTGTGGCTTCCACACCTTGCTCCACTGGCTTTTCCACGTTGGGAGCCAGCTACAGCATTCCCACACCGCCACTTGGGGTACACTGCACGGCTCTGCAGGATCCTCACATGCCCTGCCATTGTCCTTGTCCCTGTTTCATGAGGCCCCTGAGGGCTGCCAGGACGTAGCCGAGGCCTCCTGTCCAGAGAGAAGAGCTACCTCTTCTGACGCGCAGTCTGGTGACTTCCCCAGACCCCTCGGCCTCCCACCCCGAGAGCGGGCTCCCTACGCAATAGATGTCTCATGGGCAGAGTTGAAATCCTCTGCTCACCTGCGAGAGCAGTCTGCCAGCACTTCCCCACTGCTTCCCGGGACCCCGCACTTCCTCTCCTTTGTCCCTCAGATGGCAAGAGGGGCATTTGAGTCACAGGTGACGTGACCAAGGAAAGGTCACTGGCATCCTTCGGCATTCTTGCTGCGGTGTGCAGAGGGCCCTTGAGACTCTGTAACAGCACCCTCCACGGAGCCCTAGTGGGTTGGGCATCAGACTGCCAACAGTAAGGTCAGTGGTTCAAACTCCCTGGCCACTCTGTGGGAGAAAGCTGAGGCTGGCCGCCCAGGAGAGATTTACAGCAGTGGAAACTTTCCATGGTGCTGCTAGGAGTTGGAATGGACTTGACTTGCCCTTGGCTTTGTTGTTGTTTTTAGTTTTAGTCATCAGCAGCCCCATTGGGCACATCTGTGTGCTTGGCTACTGACCCCAAAGCAAGTCATTTGAACACACTCTGATGGTCCTGTCACCCATTGCCATTGAAACATCAGCCTAGAAAGTGCCAGGGGCAGTTTTACTTTGCTTCACGGGTGCTATGATTCGGAATCGGCTCCATGGCACCCGACAACAGGTCGGTGATTTGACACGGGTCCACACTGTTGTGCATTCCGGATGTAGGCACAGGGTCTAAGAGATGGATTAAGCTGCTTGCGAAGGTGACGTGGGTCATTCTCTATACAGCGGTACCCTCACTGGGCAGGCGGACTCCAGAGCCCGAACGGACGGGGAGAATGAGGAGGGAGGGACGCCGATCTCTCCAAAGATCTCAGAGAGAGGGCTACCTTTCGGCGAAATTACAAACATATTCTGAAGGATTCGTTTTAACAAATGGTAAGTCGCAAATCTTATGCGGTCTTTACACCCAGCAACCCCATCTTGCTCTGAAATCAGAATGAAAAAAGAAAGACGGATCTGATGTGGCGCTGTTGGTACTTACTGTTTGAGGCAGTCACTTTAAAACGAAAAGAACACGAAATGTCTTAGCAACTTAATCCGCTGGCTAATAAAATAAGTTTATTTATATATACATCGTAGCTGAATTCTGTGGATAAGGAAAAATAAGTCATACATCCACATATGTATATATAACATATGCACCTTGATTACATATATTATATATTTAAAATTTTACTTTACAAACAGGTTTCTCTCTAGGAATAGACACACACACACACACACACTGATATAGTAAATGCAATAGCTGACAGAAATCAGATTTAAAGAGCCAGACAGCACTGCACGTTAGAAAGTAAACCTCGAAGCAAGCCCGAACCTGCTTTTGTGTGAGTCTGTGAAGAGTGACGGCAGCCACCAAACGCAGGCTACGTGGGTTCATACAACATCGAGAACATACATTTTTGAAGGCCATCTTTATCTTTTTTAAAGGAAAATGTAGGTAGAAAGGAGACATGTATGCTAAAAAGACCACAGCAACAACACTGACATATGAGCCAACACTCAAGTTCAATTCCCGGTCTGACTATAATAGCATCTATATTCAAAATAGACTATCAAACTATTTTTCTGTTAGAGAAAAGAAGCATCCAAGCAGTTATCTTCCCTCCCAGTCACTATTCATTAGAAAAAGCACAATGAAACTGCAGACAAGCAGCCCATCTCCGGAAGTCCTGTCTCTGAGGTCTGACCCTGTTAGCCCTGCTGGATGCCGGCTGGGGCAGGAGGCCCAGAGGGAAGCAGCTTCCAGGAAGCCCACAGCTGGATGGCCAGGCCTGATTTTGGCCCCACCTCACCCACAGGCTTGCAAGGCCAGAGGGGATATAATGGATGCCTTCTCCCATGCGATTCACTTTGGCAAACTTCATTTTTTTTTTTTTTAAGATCACAGGAGGCAGTTTCTAAAAGTACAGACCTCCCCCAAACATGTTTTCAGGGGCACAATTTGATTTCCTTTTGTGAAAACAAACTCCGAACCCCATCTCTGAAACCCTCTGAAGCTGGTGGGCTGGGAGGGGCCTCTAACCCTCCAAGAAAAGGCGTGAGGGTCTGATAGAGATGTGGGTGATGGAGGGGGAGCTTCAAGGGAGCCTTCTCCACCAAGGAGCGGCCGTCCGTAGTTGGCACGGTGGATGCTCACGGTGGCCGCCCCTGGGAGATGCTGTGGACAGTTACAGGGAGGTGGCCGTGGGACGTCTTGACATCCTCTCTGGGATTCCCCAGGGAATACTGGCTGGCCTGCTTCCAGTCACTTGGATGGAATTACACATGGCAGCAGTTAATGAGGCTCAGGGCACCTAGTCTTCTGGGGAGAGAAGGGGTTTGGGGCATGATTCTGCTGTCCAATCCCCTCACTGCTGTGCATACAAAGGGGCAGGGAACAGGTCACATCAAACCATGAGGACTCTGAGCTTCAAGAACCACACTTGATCACTGCACCACTTTAAAGTTCTAGAGCAGTGGTTCTTAACCTGTGGGTCGAGACCCCTTTGGGGGTCGAACAACCCTTTCATCACAGGTGTCGCCTGATTCATCACAGTAGCAAAATGACAGTGATGAAGTAGCCACGAAAATAATTTTCTGGTTGGCGGTCACCACAACATGAGGAACTGTCTGAAAGGGTCGCGGCATGAGGAAGGTTGAGAACCACTCTAAGTAGGAGGCTAGGCTCTTACCTCACCTGCCTGGGGCTGCTGGGACCCCTACTGGCTCAAGCACTGTTATCAAGAGAAGCAATCAATGCAACTGCTTTGCTTAGAAATACCTTTATTTTATAAAGCCAAGAATCATTCTGTAAAGTTTCTTTAAACCACACTTATAAAAAAGATGTTGACAAGTCTTAGGAAAAGAAAGCTGAAAATGTTTCTCATTAAGTCAGGGTTACACAAAGGTTATATTTATAATATAGATGTGTATTTGTATATTTATCATTTAGAGACGAAGAGGGCTGGCCGCTGCATTTAGATCTCAGACACTTGGTCGTTCCCCACAAACAGCGTTTCCTGACAGAAGGGGTTCACCAGGACCATCCCAGTGTCCCTGTAGTCGCCGTTGGCCGGGGACCGGGGCTCCGAGAGCTGGTCCTGGAGAGAGAGAGGAGGAGACTAGTCAGCTGGGGGCGCTGCTGAGGCTGAGGCTATTAAAGAAACCCTCACACAGGCTCGTTCGTGTATCTCAGCACGCAGTTGTTTAGTAAACCATTTCCTGCACGCCCACGGAGTGCAGACGTGCTCTCTCGGAGACTTCCCTATCGCAGGCACCCTCACCCCGGCCTGCTGGCGATGGCGCTGTCTCCTTGTTCCCGTTGGCTCACAGCACTCAGCGTGTGCACCGGCAGGTCCCCAGGGCCTGCACACCCTGCCTGCCGCTCTTTCCCAGCCCTCTGGGCTTAGCCAGCCCTCACTGTGTTCCCTCCTGGAACATACCCTAGCCTTGCCCCTCAGTCCTCTCCTGCCACCTACCTGCCAGCGCCTGTGTCACATTCTCTCAACACTGGTCTCCCAGAGCCCGGTCACCAGGGTGGCCAAGTTCCCTGCGACACCAGCTGTGGGGAGCTGAGGAGACATGGGTCTGTAGGAGAAAGTCCGCCTGTCTGCACGGAATCAGAAGGCAGCCGAGTGTCTTGGGTGCGGTGGTCATACTTTGCATGGCCTTCAAGCATTGGTAGGCAGCTACATGGCAGATGATGCACCAGTGCTCGACCACTGGCTACAAGGTTGGCGGTGTGAATAAGCCATAAAGATTTGTAGTCTTGAGAACCCTCTGGGGCCCTTCTACTCAGTCCTCAAGGGCCACTAGGGGTCAGAATCGACCTGATGTGAGTGGGGTTGATTCCACCATTTACCCGAGGCGCTCAAATTCAGCGCCAGCTTGAGTGCAGGGGGCTGGCAGTCATAGCATGTCCTGATGCTAAACAGTCAACGTCTCGGGACCTGCAGGTCATTCCAGGTTTAAGATTCAACAACAGGCGTATGCTTAATCGGCTTATGGCAGGCTTGCTTAGAAATGTCTTCGTTTTAACAAGCCGTGTTTAATTTTCTCAAGGTTATTGTTAAACACAACACACACGACCTAATTCATGCAGGCCATGCATGGCTCTGTGGATAATAACTGGAGAAAAGCCTTTGTTCCTAACATGCCTTGGAAGACAAGGCTTTCTTCCCCCAGTGGAATTGGCTGACTGGCCATCAGAAAGGGGCAATGGGGCCAGCCCTATGAGGCAGCATGCTAAGGAGGGGACAGGAGCCCTGGGCCAGGCTTGGACTGGGGGCAGGGCTTGGAGACTGCTTGTTCTCCTAAGCAAGTTTCCAATAGGGGCAAGCCACTCGGGGTTGTTTCATTCACAGGTGAACAAAGGCAACTGACGATTTGGAATACTGGAGGCAAACAGAGGAAGACAACAGGAGGATGGAGAGGAGGAAGGCGGAAGGTAGAGGAGTAAGGGAGGGTGGGCAGGAGGGAGATGGTAGGAGGGGTGGGGGGTGAGGAGCGAGTGGAAAAGTTTCCGAGCACCTTGGGCTGCTCGATTCTCTCCCCAGGCCTGGTTTGTGTCTCACTGCGGTCATCAGCACAGAAGGGGAGTGAGTCCCCAGCGACATCTGCTTAGGCAAAGCCCGTGCCCCTGTGATCAGTCTGGATGGTCCGTGGGCTGCCTGAGGGCCAGCTGCCGCCATCCTGGCTCTGGGCACGCCTCCTGGCAGCGGCTTCCTTTGCCCTCAAGGAGGGTAATCAGTGTCATCAGTGTTGCCAGTGTGAGCCCAGCGGGCTGGAAGAATGGAGAGGTATTCTCAGAGCACCAGAAGGAGGGGAGTGAACCTGCTGGGAAGGGAGCAGCTCTGAGCCCAGCAGTGGCCGCTGGGCTGGCTCTAGGGCGCATGCGCAAGGCAGGCAGGTGTGTGTATGTGTCTGTGTGTGTGTGGTGGTGGTGGTGGTGGTGAGTGTGTGTGGGTGTGTGTACACTAACCTGGATGCCGCCGGAGCAGGGCAGGGCCTTTTCTTTCATGCGTTTCAAAAGCCTTTCACTGTGACTTGGGTGGAGGTTTTCAGAGCAGATCGGTTTTCCAGTCAGCAGTTCATACACATTTTGTTTCATGTCACCGATGGTACTATCACTTATCCTACTTCCACCCTGCGTTGCCACTTTCCATTCCTCCTCCTTTCCTAAGTCACTTCTGAACTTCATCCCGTTGGGTAAGAGCTACTTTTGATCTCAAGTGGTTGCATCTTCTTAATACGATTGTTCTTCGTCTAGAAACCCACTCCCATCGAGCTGATTCCAACTCCTAAGGCTGTTAATCTTGATGGGTGCAGAAAGCCTCAGCCTTCTCCCAAGAACTGGCTAGTGGGTTTGAACTACCAACCTTGCTTGTGGTTAGCAGTCCACCACTTACCTGACAGCATCATCAGTGTTCCCTTTACAGACCTGTCTGTGGTTTGGCTGAAAACTGAGCCACAGAATGAGCTCCTGTCCACTCAAAAGCACTAGCCTGCACTCTCACTCCACTGACTATTTTGCTGAAGTAGTGCAGCAGGTGAGCTCCCCTGCTAGCTTCCCTGTGCTGCCCCTCACTACGGCAATGGACTGGCATGCTTTCTGCCATGCAAGACATGCACTGGCCACACTAAAGCTCACTGTCTTCAGGAAGCCTGTCCCTCTGTTTGTCCTTCGGTCAAACATGTTTGGTTTTTTTTGAATCTCCCATGGGTTGGGCTAACTCAGAGTAAACATAATTTATACACATTTTCCAAAGTCTCTACCAGGCCAGGAGCTAGGTGCTGGGGATAGAGCAGTGGCCAGAACAAAAGAGGTTCCTGCCTGCAGGCACCTTCTCTTGGAGCAGAGAGGGAGGACAAATCAGCCAACAGAGAGAGAACCAGGCAGAGTTGGAGGGCAAGGAGCACGCGGAAGCAAAGCAGCACGGAACTAGAACTGATGGTGATTACACAGCTCACGTTAAAGGCCATTTAACCATGGGTAGGGGAGGAGGGGGTGAGTTCTAAAAATTAATTGTGGTGATGATTGTACAATTCTTGATATGATTGAACTATTGTATGATACGTGGATTATGTGCCAATAAAAATGTAAAAAAAAACCCCAACAAAATGCAAGAAGAGAGCCATATATAGAAAGAAAAGACAAGCATGGAGAGCTATGACTAACAAAGGGACCGGGGGCATTTAAATTGGTGAAGAGCAGTCAGGGAGGGCTTCCAGGAAGAGGTAACATTGGAACAGAGACCTGAAGGAAGAGAGGTGTGAAATAAGGAATTTGTTTGGCTCTTCCCACTGTCCTAACAGGTAGCTCCAAGCTGCTTGCATTTCCAGAGTGACTGGACTACATTCTTTCTGGTGAGGCCCTTGGGCTACACCTGATAATTTATGCTCATGAAGCAGGACCCTGGATAATGTATGCTAATAAGAAACACAGGATGGAGGCTGAGTTTGCTAGTAGGATTAACTGTGTGATTTGAGAGTTGGAGCTTCGGGCTGAGTGAGACAGGCCTGGTCTTCAGGGAAGGGAGTGAGGGCTGCAGGTTGATTTCAGTTACCTGGCCACTGACGACATCCCTCCCGTCCGTGGAGCTGGGCACTGAGGCCTGGAGCTGGCTTGGCGGCTGGCTGAGGCGCACAATGACTGCTCTCCTTCCTGTCTGCTGAGCCTGACTTCCTAATCAACCTCTCCATTATGAGTATTTCCTGTGAAGTCTGGGTGGCCATCACAACAGATTAGTGAGCTCGGCTTAGATGTAGAGTGAGGTGGGAGGAAGCGGTGGTGTCAGAACAGGTAAAGGAGTATGGGCCCTGGAGATTTGTTAGGCGCCTGCCTTGTGGCAACTGGGAAGCCAGAGGAGGTGAGATATGCCCACCTCCAGTGCTGTTTATTGCAGGAGCATCTTGGTGGCATAGTAGTTGAGCACTCCTTGTCTAACCAAGACGTCAATGGTTTGAATCCACCAGCAGATCTGTAGGAGGAAGACGTAGCAGTCCTTCCATAAAGACCACAGCCTTGGAAATCCTATGGGGGCAGTTCTGTTCTGTCCTATCAGGCCCTAATGAATTAGACCAGATACAGTGGTGTTACTGATGTGGGGGCAACTGGCTATTCTAATGGGCAGTGATATTAAACAGGTATTAGACTAGACATCGCGTCATCACAATTCTAGTAAGTGCTGGGATGTGCCAGCACAGGGCACCCGGACCATATGAGAGCAGAGTGGGGCGAGCTTGTAGGTCAGGGATGACCTCCCTGAAGAGGTGACACATAAATTGGGCCCCAAATAGTGGGTGGTATTGAGGTGGACATGAGGAAGGGGTCCTGGGGAGTGGGGGAGACAGAACATTCTAGGAGAGGCCAGAGCTCATGCACAGGCCAGGAGTGGACGTGATGTAGTGCCACGGAGAAGCAAAAAGAATAGCACGTGAGTGGAAAAGGGGCATGAGGTTGGAGAGTTTGGCCAGGGCCTTGTCTTATGGCACCTTGTAGCAATGGGGAGATACTGAAGGGTTTTGAACAAAGGAATGGTAAAACCCATTCGTGCCAATAAAAGCTCACCCAGGTTGCTGTGGGCCAAGGTCTACAGGGGCAGAGGTGGACTGCACATCCAAAAGAACTCTTCTCCACTCTCATGGCCTTAATTCAGATGCCCACCATCTTTCTCCTGGGACATCTCAATGGCAGCCTAGGTGATCTACCTATTTCTAGTCTGCCTTTCTGTGCGTCCATGCAGCCATTCACCCACCCATCGAATCCATTCACTGGTCACCTCTCGTGAGGTAATGAATGACTCTTCTCTCCTTAGTCTGTGTAACTCCCACCAAATGGCTTTTGCCATTTTGATGGGTCCGGGTAAGAGAAAGTAGGGTGTATGACTCAGTTGTGAGTGACTGTTCACAAAGTTAACTGTGATTGCAAAGACTTGTAACTCTAATGTGAGGATTAGTCAATTTTGCCATCCTGCTGGGAGTGAACTGAGCCACCTCAGCAGCAGGAAGGCGGATCTCACTAGCATCAAGCAAGACCAGCCAGGAGGAGGGTGCATGCTTTGAATCTGAGATCCCTGCACATGGGACCTCCTTGATCCAGGGACAGAAAGCTGTGAGTGACAGGTGCCAGAGGAGTGATAGTAGCATGAAATAGCGAGGGGGGCTTCCTGGCCTACCAGACAAGCAAAGGTGAAAACCTGGCAGGGGACCGTCTTGTGGAGTGGGGTACCTCTAGGCACTTAATTGGAGACGTTAGGTAGGTTTGCTGACGTATGGAACTAGAGGCCAACACTCTGGGCTAAGGCTTATTGCAGAGTGGCCTTCCCTTTAGGTCTTTCTTAGCAACCCTCAAAGAGTGTTTGTAACATTGTCTGGGCAGGGGAGAGGCCCAGGGGCCTGTGGCTGAGAGGCCTAGGACTAGGGAGAGACCTGCCTGTGGGTATGGCTGAAAAGAGGCTGTCCTGACCATTTTGGATCTTGAATTGTAACCTGTCAACTTCCCTAATGAACCCCACAATCTCATGTATTGCCTGTGAGCTCTGTGAGGCCAATGTGAAAAGTTATGGAACCTCACTGAGAAGTAGGGTACTGAGAATCGTGTGAGGGGTGGTAGGTGTTAGAATGGGTAAAGACAGTTGGAAGGTGATGGCTTGGCTGATGTTTGATCCTTCCACCCCCTTGTGAAGTTAGGGGCGGTCAGATGTGCCTGTGGAGTGTCTTCACTGGCCACAGCTCAATCTTTCTCAATTGGAATCCCCCAGCAGCTCAAAAATTTCCATGACGCTTTGTTGCCTGAGAATGAAGTCCAAATTCCATAATACTTCATTCACAGCTGTGCAGAAACCGGGCCTCCATCTCCCTTTCCTGCTTCTCTGGTTTCTGCCCCGCCTTCCGTGTGAGCGTAGAAGGAGCCCAGCTTCTGTGGCCAGAGAGACCTGGGGTCAAAGCCCAGTTCCCATTGGTCAGCCCAGTGTGTTGGGCAAACTCTCCCTGGCCCAGTGCACACTCTCCGTTGACACTTGCACCTGGCACCATGCCCACCATCATTCAGGCAGGCTTGTCGAGAGCACCTTGCCTTACTCTGCCTCTTCAGACCCTGTTTCCTCTCCCTGGCATCTCCCCTGTAAAGGCTGACATGATTCACCCAGTCGGAATCAACTGCTTCCTCCCGAGTTTCAATGGTTCTAGGTAACTCTCCTTCTGTTTCCCAGTTTGTGTTGACTCTGGATGGTGCGTGGGGGCTGCGCCCTACCATATCCCGGAGTCTGAGCTCCTTGAGAACACGCGCTAATCCTCACATCCTCCAGATGTGCAGGCCACGGAATGGGTCCTCCACTAATACTTGCTGGCTTGTTTCCAGAAACTGGACGTTCCAGAAACAGGACTTCCCACACTCGCATGTGCACAGAAAGCTGAGCTACAGAGCCCCCCATCAAGGAGTCCTTATGGCTGCCCCTGGCTGTGTTGCCAAGGCAGATGCCCAGAGCACAGCGGAGATGCCAGCGCCCTCCCCCCTACCTCTCTCTCGGTCCCATGCTCCCCCCACTCCCACTTGCCCCTGCAGCAGCCCCGCACTCCTGGGGGCCTCGTTGGTGTGGGCTCCGTACCTCTGAGGTCTCCAGGGACTGGATCTCCCTGGGCAGCTCCACAGCATGCTTGTTGAAGTAGTCCATGGTGATGGCGTTGTTCCAGTAGCTCAGGTTGTTCTCCGGGTTGGCCGTCTTCTTCTTCCGTCTCAGGCAGCACACTGTCAGCAAGACAGCTGTGGAGAGAGGGCACATCAGAGAGCCGAGAGGGAGGCCCCACCGATGGACAGAGCCACCATCACCAGGGAACCAAGCCAAGCTCCCAGGTGGGGCTGCGATGGTCCCACATTCATTCTTCAACAAATACATACATAGGCTCACTGCCTACTTTGTGCCAGGAACTGATGTAAGTGGTGGGGAGAGAGGAGTGTACCAGGGAGACAAGACCCCCCTGCTTGCATGAGCTCCCATTCTAATGGGGGGAGAGGGGGTCGGACAATACATAATCAACAAAATGAGCAAACGAGGTAAATCTAGAGTGCCCCAAGGCAACAAAACAGGACAGAGTGAGAGGCCGGAGTGGGAGTGGGGGGCCGAGCATGTTTCCGTCTTCATGAAAGGCCCGCCCGCTGAGGTTGGACCGTGAGGACGGAGCCAGGTGTGTGGAGAACCGGGCACTATGTCCTAGACAGCAAGGTCGCATGTGCAAAGGGCCTGCGGTGGGGACGACTCCTTATATGTGAGGAGATGAGGAAAGGCCAGCGTGGTGGAAATGGTGTGGGCGCGGGGAGTGAGGTGTGAGATGAGGTCACAGGGTTTAGAAGTTGTATCCACAGGGCGTGGGTCACAGGTTTAGATGTTCCCTGGGGATATCTGTGGACACACAGTCCTGGTCCTCGAGTTTGCATGGAGTTAGCCCCGGAGCTGGCCTGCAGACAATGACAGGCGTGCTCTAGGTTGCCTGCTGGCTTGGAGGGGGTGTTGTAAAAGTGAGAGGGTGGCAGAGAGGCAGGTAGGGCACAGGGAATGTTACACAAGAAGCTCTCGACTTCCACACAGGGTCCCTGATGGCCGAGGGACCATCACAGCCCAAATCACAGTGTGTGATCAAACGGCTGCTCCGGCCACCATCTCGTTTCACCATCTCATTTTCCTCCCCGCAGCACTCCGGCAGGACAGCAGTAGCCAGTACAGCTGGGCAGCACTCATGTGCTGGGGACTGTTCCGAGCACTTTAGAACATCACTTCACTCAAGCCTCTATCTTACCCATGATTATGCTCCTGTTTTATAGCCAGGAACACTGAGCTGCAGAGAGGTGAGGGAACTTGCCCATGAGCAGGTCTAGACAGAGGATCTGAAGTGTGTGCTGTGAATTACCATGCTACAGCATCAGAGACTGGCTAAGCCCACACTGCTCAGACGGGCCACTCTGGTGCTAAACCAGGTGTGAACAGAGTGGCTTCCAGCAGAGAGGTGGCTGGCCTATCCAGGCTCACACGGCACACAAGTCCTCAGGCAGAAGCCATCCACAAGGACTAGGTAGATGCTGCTCTCGGCTCCCCATGACTGAGCCTCAGGGTTGGCTCAAACTCAGGGGGAGCCAGGCTGAGTCATCACAGGGGGAAACAGCCACCAGGGGGCAGTGGAGGTCAATGCCATCCACCTTGGCTGGGTCCCTCCAAAGGGAGGTGCACTGCCAGGGGCAGATGTAAATGCTGAGCCCCACGTCCTTGTGGGCTCTCAGAAATCTGGGCGCTGCCTTCCCAGCTGCCCACCTTGCTGGCACCTCAACCTGGACGTGCCTCCTAACAAGGGCAGGAGATGGGGCAAGTTTCCTTTCCTCGGGATCTGCTTTGATCAGAGTTCTCATTTGCTTACCATTCATTTTTCCAGCTTCTCTTAACAAAAAAAGAAAAAAAAAAGGAGAATGCTTTGAAAACCCAGAGATCGCTGAAAGTATGGGCTGGAGGGGATTTCAGAGACTTACTGGTATCGATTTCTTTTCAAGTTACATAGAGGTCTCCCATTTTCTCTCCCTTTTGTCCAAAGAGCTGCTTCTTCAAGTGGTTGAATGGGGTAAGGAGTGGGAGAGGGACTCAGCAGGAAAGACCGCGCCTTATTCTACAGGCGAGACAAGGATGGCCCCAGTACGAAGCAGACTCGCTCAGAACTTGCAGGTCTGCGAGTGGCAGGGTTGGGACGTATACAGAGCTTGGGACAAGATCCCAGGCCCATTGGCCCTTGTCTGGCTTCTCCATTCTTCACTTTGTCCCTGGATGCCTGGGCTGGGAGAGCAAAAGAGCCCGAGAGTGGGTTCTGGGGAATATTTCGAGAAGTGGAAGTGTTCTTTTCTCAGTTAGAGCCTGGCCCAAGAGAAGGGGCTGGGGTATCAGATGCTTCCCATGCTGGGATGAAGTGACTCTTCAATTCGCATGCGATTCAGGTGGCATCCCACCATGACACAACACTGCCAAGCACACACGCTGGCAGGGGCAAAGCATGAGTGTGTGAGCCCGACTGGCACGGTTCCCAGGCTTCTCAAGGTAGAGGGGTCCCAGTGGGAAGAGTCAATGGGGTCCTCCCCACCCGCTGTGTAGTGGGGACTGAGCCAGTGTGAGCTTCTCCCGGCACACAGGTTTGTTCCACACCTGGAGACCAGAGACACAAACCTGCCGTGGGCCACGTTGCTAACACCGGGTGGGGGTGGAGGCGTGCACAGCTGCAGAATCTAGGCTCCCTGATCCCCAGCCCAGAGCTTTCTATGAGAACCCATTTTGCGCTGGCTCGCAAGACTGGGCACGGTTCGAACACAGGATGCCTGGAACATGCAGGGGGAGGGGCTATTGCTGGACAGCCTGGGGCCTGGACAGGGAGTTGTGTGCCCAAATGAGCAGTCTTTCCGGCTGAGTGGCATAACGCCACCCCCACCCCCAATCCCACTTCCTTACCCCATTTCAACTACTTGAAGAAGCAGCTCTCTGGACCAAAGGGAGAGAAGGGGAACTTTCCAGAACACTTCGGGAGAGGCAGAGGCGTGCCAAACTGCACACCGTGACCAGCTCCTTCTCATGCCCCTGCCCCGGCTGGGCCTACTCAATGTTGTAGAAAACGATGAAAGAAATCACGGACTATGATGTTTGGGGGTCAAACCCAGTGCCACCCAGGAAAAGCTGATAAAAGCTTACAGGAAACTGGCCTTGAAGTGCCATCCTGATAAGAATCCAAACGAATGCGAGAAGTTTAAACAGATTTCTCAAGCATCTGAAGTGCTAGGATTTAAAGGAAAGAGAATGACAGGGCCAAGGCGGCCATCGAGGAGGGCGGAGCAGGCGGTGGGTTCAGTTCACCGCGGACAGACACGCTCTTTGGGGGCGGCGGGCAGATGCAGAGAGAAAGGAGAGGGGAAAACGCGGTGCATCAACTCTCAGTAACATTAGATGACGTGCATAATGGCGCAACCAGAAAACTAGCTCTGCAAAAGAACGTGATTTGTGACACACGCGAAGGCCGAGGCGGTAAGAGAGGAGCAGGAGAGGGCTGTCCTAAGTGCAAATGCGAATCCACCAGATAGGGCCTGGAATGGCGCAGCACTTTCCATCTGTGCGTGGAGTGCAGGGCCCCGGGGAACGGATCAGCCCTAAAGATAGATGTCAAAGTCGCAATGGAAGGAAGATCGTTAGTGAGAAGAAGATTCCAGAAGTTCATGTTGACAAAGGCACAAAAGATGGCCAGAAGATAACATTCCATGGTGAAGGAGACTGAGAGCCTAGCCTGGAGCCAGGAGATCGTATTATTGTTGTAGATCAGAAGGACCATGCTGCTTTTACCAGACGAGGAGACCTTTTCACGTGTATGGACACACAGCTGGTTGAAGCACTTCCAAAAGCCAATATCTACTCTTGACAACTGACCCACAGTCATCACTTCTCACCCAGGTCAGATTGTGCAGCTATTAAATGTGTGCTAAATGAAAGCACACCAATTTATCGCAGACCTCATGAGAATTTAAGGTGAACTTCCCCGAGAATGGCTTTCTCTCTCCCGATAAACTCTCTCCGCTGGAAAAACTGCCTGAGCGTAAGGAAGTCGAAGAGACTGCTGAAATGGATCAAGTAGAACTGGTGGACTTTGATCCCAACCAGGAAAGACGGCGCCATTACAATGGAGAAGCTCATGAGGATGATGACCACCACCCCAGAGGGGGTCCAGTGTCAGACCTCTGAATGGGGGCCAGTGAACATCGCTCACTGCTGGCATTTTATATGCAGTAGTGAATAAGTGCAGGACTGTCATTATAATATGCTCACTACTCGCTATGGCTTTTGTTTTAATATTCAACTATAGTAGTGTTTTAACGTTAAATGAAGGATAGACTCAAATATAAAAGCTCAAAAAAAAAGGAAGGGAGAGAAGGTGGGAGACCTCTAAGTAACTTGGAAAAAAAAGATACCAGTGAATCTCTGAAATCCCCTTCAGCTCAAACATTCAGCGATCTATGGGTTTTCAAGCCCCCTGCTCCTGCCTTTATTTCTAACAGGGAATTCTGAGTGTCTCTCAAGCACCGTTTCATGGGCTCCCTGGACGCCTGGACATCAGCCTGCCTGTAGAAAGAGGGGCTTGGGGCACCAAGGCCTGATGTGGTACAATGCATGACTTCACAGGGTTCTTCCAGCCACAGTCTTTGTAACCGACCCCAAACGGCTTTTGGCGATGGGTCAAGGCAAGAGAAGGTGGGGGAGGATGCTGATAGGATTGTGTGTTCAGTCGTGAGTGACTGTTCACAGGGTTAGTTGTGATGACCATCCTCCTGGGTATAAACGGAGCCACCTCAGAAGCAGGAAGGGGGATCTCACCAATGTCAAGGTAGTAAAGCATGTCCTTCAGACCCTGAGATTCCTATGTGCTGAACCTCCTCAATCCCAGGACAGAAAGCGGTGGCACCAGAGGGGCAGCAGAAGGGTGGCAGCAGCAGAACCCAGACCAGAGCATGAGAGGCCCCGGGCTTCCTGCCCACAGAGCAAGTACAGTGCAGTGGCTTCGCGCAGAAGGAAGGTCTGCATGTGGAGTGGTGTGCCCTTCGGGTATTTATCAGCAGCTCTAAAAAAGATTTGTAAACACTGCCCAAGCAAGCAGAGGCCAAGGTTCATAAGGATGAGAGGATAAAACCCAGGAGAGGCCTGCCTAATGGCACAGCCCAGCAGGGGCTGCCACGGACAACACAAGAACTGTCCTGAG